GGATGGACCTATTTCGTTGAACGAAACCACGAATTGTCTTCATTAAATGGTAAAATATTTTTCGAATTTTGAATATCAATGAAAATGTGTTTGGTATTTAAATTCTAGCTTCAACTTTAAACTTGTAAAACACGCTGCAACTCTAAAAATTGGAACAGTGATTGAAACCACAAAGCATTCATGCTTACTTTTGTAATCCTGCTTGTTTCTGTATTGCCCCGTTTGTATCTCAACCTTTAATCAAAAGTAAACCATTTTTCCCACTTTCTAATGTATTACAAAATAATAATCAGTACATTTAAACTATCTCAGTAAAAAACTATGTACTTCTTCTGAATTTGTGTTTGTACTGTACAACGACAAAAATACAGTAAAGGGTTTATCGTTTTAATCTTATTACTAGTATTTCTTTATTGAGTTATATAGTCAAAGCCAGCCTAAGGTATTTGCTTTAGTTAAGTAAAAAAGCCCTGTATTTTTACAAATAAATGTAAATATCTTCATTTATTTTTGAGTAAAATATTATCGAATAAAAAATTAAGATGTATGGGTACTATGTATGCAATGTACGTTATTTATGTAAGGGTACAATCTGGTTCTTGTAATTTTGTTCATGCATTGTTACTTAAATAAAGTCATACATAACATTATGCTTACATTATTTCAATGTTATTTCAATTTATGGTTGCAATTTAACTTCCACTAAAATATTGTGTAGACTAAAGGTATATTTGATAAGCTATGCATCTGCTTTATAATATTTTACGCTGTTATGGATAAATGTTCAATCGGATGTAGTTTTGAAAGTCCGTTATATAAAATAAACATTGATTGAGGTTACGACTGGAAACAAAACAAATTACTAAAAATGTACATCCTTAAGTATTACTAAATATTTATGGTGTCACTTACCTGGGATCCACGTATTGATTTATGCGTTCATTTAAGTTCTTTGGTTTGGAATGTGTATGTTAAATATTTTTAAATATAAAATAAAATGCAATGCACAAGAGCTTAATCAACAGTCTTAGATAGAAAAGTAATGAAGTTCAGAAAGTTTAGAAACTACTCAGATTTCAATCGGTTATAGGGTTGTGAGGAAAGTTTTTGAAATTAATAAAAGAGAATCTTGAGATTCGGAAGTTTATAACTTTATTAATACAACTTTTTTAATTAATTTTTAAATATTTCGTTTATATTTTCAAATAATTAAACCTATCTTAAAACTCAAGTAGTGATCCCCATATCAGCTATTTTGGTAAATATTGAGATTGAAATATTATAAATTAATCATTGTAATTTAGGTATTCTGTGCAAATAAACAAGGATCTAAATTCATTTGAATACAAATTAAAATTTATGTGTTTTCGTCGTACATCATTGATGGATTTATAATGCTACAATTAAATCAAGTAGGAGTCAAATAATTAAATAATTTTACCCTGAACTCGCGTTAGGTCAAAATGTAAACCATACCATACCTTCAAGTAATTAAATATTTAAAATGCTGCAAGATATTTCAGATAAAGTAACAATGAGATTTTATCCTAGAACTTGTGAACTCTGAAGATTAACAGCTGGTACTGTTTATTTTGTTAACAGATGTTTCAACATGGCATGATGTTTACAATACCAACATTCGTCAGCCAATATGAACTTGGTCAACATTATTAGCATATTAGGCTTTAATAATTACCGTCATTAAAATAAAATTATCGTTCACTGATGAAAACAATACTCGAAATTTAATGTTTGAGGTGAGCACGTTTATTTCACATTACATTTTATACATCTCAAATTTCTCAATAAGATTGATGATGATATGTCTAAAAATAACTCATACCCAATGCGTAATCTTCATTTTTTTTACGGTTAAATACACAAATCTAAAAATATCTTTGCACAGTTAGAAAACAAAATTGATATCCAGAGAGTTCAAAAAGTTTTACTTTCATTCAATATTGCAGCTGTAAAAGAGCTGCTTTCTTACTAAATAAAGCAGTCTTGTGCTTCAGATATCCTACAACTTTTGCAATTAAACTTTATGCATTTGTAACCAGCCTAATTATCGTTTTCACCAAAGAGTAAAACGTGATTAAAATTTTGTGAATCAAGACGTGTTTTAATATTGTAATTTAAGTCATTAATAACAGTTTATAATCATGTTTAGCTGAGGGATGGAATAACACTACATATAAATGTGAAACTTTTAACAACAATTTTTTTATTTGTTTGAAAGAGATGTATAATTAAAAACAACATCAACGAGATTTTTTAAACAAAATAAAATAATTTATTTATTTATTTTTTTTTTTTTTGAGGTTGGCGGCCTCTTTTAACCTTGCATTTGCCCGTCCACATAGACTACCGTTTTTCGCGTGTAAATTATCCAGCAAAGCAAGGGGTGAGCCGGTACGGTACAAAGGTGGGTGAACTGTACTGATAACAGTACAGTTACAGTTTAAAGGGAGCTACAAATTTTTCGGAAGTCCATCTGGTTTCCCTTGAAGTGAGGGTTGTCCAGGCGTTTCCGTTTGCAAGGTAAGCTCGTTCGACACTATTTATTACATTATAAAAAGTAACTGTTGGCTGGTACCAAAGCTCCACTCAACAATATAACAACCCGAATACTCTCACGAATAAGTAGTGCAGCATTTCATCATCAGAGCTGAAAATACTGAAAATACTGTTGTACAGAATTAAAATTATGTAACATTTAATTCTTAATGAAAAAAAAACATTTTTATTACATATATATTTAGATTTAATTTGATCAACACAACTAGAATAAGAAGAACAAAGATTTTTCTAAAACGAAACAGACGGAATTATAGACAAAGGTTAGAAGCTCAGTTATTGATAGTCAGTCGGGACAGGTTAGGTTGGGTTGACATTTCTCACAATAACTAGCTGCTGTTGTATTGACAAGTGACAAGTGATGTGTCTTCGTATAGTTCTGCCTCGACTGGCTGATTCGAGACTTTTGAGACATATACTGGGGTTTTATCGTTTTTCTAAAATGGTAACCATCAACTAATTTTCTTGATATTTTGTGTATACTTTCTATAATATTTCAATGTCGATTTATTTTTTGTAAAGAAATACTACTGGAAATATGCACACTATTTTGGAACACATATTAGTTCAGTAATAACTAGGAGATATTTATAGCAAAGGAATGTATAATACCTTCCATACATATTCGTGTGATGTACTTAAAAATTAATATTTGCTTTAAAACTCTAGGTGGTAAACGTATTTGTTTGGATTATAGAATTCCAGTTTTGGTATTGTAAATTAAGTAAATAAACAACACAGTACGTATGAAAAAATAGGATTCTTATGATTGAGGGAATTTCCGTATATAATCCATTCACAAAAGTTGTATTTTTTGGAAACTCTATGTATGTCAACCAAAAAATGTTTTGCATTCAAGGCCAATAATTAATTACACGATATTTAATACTTATACAAGATACCTTCTTTCCTTGTAGGAAAAAGTATAGCCTGTTAAAACTTTAAATGAAGTTGGTAAACATTGAGATTCTCTAGAGGTTGAGACCACTAAAATACCTTGAGGGGATGTACTCCGGTTGCGAGTTTAATTTTACTTTAGAGAACGAAGCAATTAAATTGTTCTTTATCAGAATTATTTGTTTGGAAAAATCAGCTTCAGAGAGTAAGAAAGATTACACAGAATCTGATGATGTAATTGACTTAACTGTTGTACAAAATGTTTTGCGTGGCTTGATTATCTCCTTTCCTCCCTAGTTTAAAAAATTTCTGAAGTGTAGGAAGGCCAACTGTACAATTTTGACAGAATTAAAATTGATTTCTGAATTCTGATTTCGACCAATGGTTTTGTCGAAGGAAAAATTGCAAAATTACAAAAATATTATATTACTGTCATTGTTAATTCGTGTGTTTATTTTCGTGTCATATTGTAATTTATACTACGGTATAAAAAAATCTAAAAAATGACATATAATTAAAGGTAAGAGGATTTCGGTAATGAAGAATCTACATTATTATGTTGGTGAAGTTTTTGATTCAATTAGATAACAGTAAGAAGTTTTCATGATAAGCACAGAAATGAAAGAATTTAGGATTTAGTTTTTAAATGTTATAATTATGTACAATCTTTAACTATTCGGCTTATTGCTGCAGTATGACGAAAATTATACACGACCACACGACTTGGGTTCTGTTCAAAAACAGTAACTTTATGTCCTAATAACATAATACACTATTATATTCGTGTATTTTTTGTCATCTAGCGTTGTGCCGTTTTATAAACACAAACGGCTGTGTATATAAAACGCTACCACAAACGGCACAAACGTCCCGATCACAACCCCACAGAGCGCGCTGTGACGGATGACAACGGTTCCTCCCCCCTTGTAGGCTGACAGGCGACACTTTATATTGGTTATGGGCTTCATACATCTCAATATCTGCACGACGTTTACTGTAGGTGGGTCTCAGGCAGTTTATACAGTTTCTGTTTCGTTCTTTACCAACATTTATTTGTGTACTTGCCAATGGTTTACACGTTGCCTATAAAACTGTATGGTACAGTATACCATCGAAATTTTACTTACCGTTTAGTGTTGTAAGAAGCAATAAGTTTGCTGACAATATTTATATATTTCTCAGACAAAAATGATTGTTGGCTTGAAAAAATCACTTAGCCAACGCTAATAGTATTAAGATATCAAACCTAAATTGTTAACATTGTAATATATTTCAGACGAATAAAAACGTTTGCATCTTTTTCAATTTATTAACTATGTGTGTTCTGTTTTTCACAAAATCACACCCTAAGAAATAAAGGACAACTACCAACAACTAGAAAATCTGAAAATTAGTCACACTGCAAAAGGTTCAATAAACAAATTGTTTATGAGTGTTAATAAATAAGTCTATTAAATTTCATTAACAAAATATCACACACACTTATTATTTGGGCTAAGGTTAAAAGTAATCTGACTCACACTTACCAAACGATCCCTTTGCAAGTTAAGTCGCAATATTAGTTTCTGAAACATAACAATGCTTTTGTTAGAAGGTTCTATATATAAATTAATAAATCATGGAAAGCAAACAAAATAAGGAAATAAAATAAAATAACATAATTATAAAAATCTTTCACTTTTAGGTTAGGTTTTTGTTTAAAAACATGTTTGACGATCACTATTTAATGTACCTTCATCAATTGCAATTTATTTGTACAATTATTTATTTTAATTTATTAAAGATGGAGTAGGATAACTAATTTTATAGCACTTTCAAAAATATACCATCTATTCAAAATTAAAAATAATATGTTTTATATAACCGTTACGTTATTCAGATCTTGGTCTCCGGTAATATAAAGATAAGAAGGGGAACGAAAAGATCAAAGTTTAAATGAAGTTGGTAAACAATACTGTTTGCTCCAGGGGTTATGGAACAATACCTTTCTTGTTTAAAAGACTTATAACAGGTTTCTTGAGTACAACTTTGCAATTTTCTTGTTAAGCTTATATCAAATGTTTTGTTTTTGATAAACTACTAATGTTGTTGTTAACTTTTATGTTAATCTATATAATGGTTTTTGCGTAGCATATGCAGCTATTTTAAACACAAATACAGTACACCTGTAATAATTGGGACTATAAAGATATGGTAGAAATCACTTTTTAAATTGATACATTTATATATTGGTTAATACTGTTATGTGTATGGATGTACATTTAAATTGAACTGTAACCACTTATATGCACTTCACTTTACTAATAAAAAGTAATTTTTATATTGTAAATACATTAAAACATTGAATCAAGCATTGAATATTATAAGACAACATTGTTAGTGTTATAAAATAAGAACTACCATTAACGTAATACAATTTTGAGTTGCGTGTAAAACCTTGTTTTAAAAGAACTTTGCTGATAATTTTAAATAATTTCTTACCAAGTTTCTGAAAAGATTATCCATTGTCATATGTACTGGTAAGACAAAGTAAATACAAGCACACAATTTTAATTGTCTCATTTTAATTTTAAAAGATTATTTTATTATAATGAAACGAAAACTATTTATATACATTTGTGGAAGCGAAATCACAAAAACTAATAGTTGAACATAGGTATATTTCTACACATAAAATTTTAACTTTCAATGAATGTAGCATGGAAAGTACACGTTAAAAAAAGAAAAAAAAATAACTTTGTTAGGGAAAATAAATAATAATTAAAATGTGAAACTCTTCTTGGAATGCCTATTGCCTCTAATATCACTTTTAGTTTACAAAGTCTGTCTCCTAACTGCTGCAGTTGCTATGCGGGTTAATGAAAAATAAATTTGCAATAATGATTTCCAATAAACAAGTCGAAAAATACTGTTTTTTTGTTGCGCCTTAACTGTACTAAGATATTTGTTAAGATATAAAACATTTTGGTATTTCAAGTTTGTTTACATTTTTAAATAGAACCATCTTAAAAATATCATAAAATAAAATAAAATGTAAGTAGTATAAATGTGTTTTATACTCAAATTAATCGCAAATCATAGCCTATTGTGTTTGATTGTCAGGAAAATTATTGTAGGTAAGATCATTGACTATCTTTCTTCTTAAAATAATTAAGTCTCTTAACCTCCTTAAGTCTCTAAATCTTCTTTAATCTGTTAATCTTCTTTATTATTAAAAGTATGTACTTATTGAGACCTAAGTAAGATACCAACAATAGTTATTTATATAGTTATTTAGTTACTTATTATTATTAGTTATTTAGTTATATAGTTATTTATATATTTTTTTTATAGTTGTTTATTTTTATTACGAGTGATTTATTTTAGAGGAACTAAGCTGGGAGCTCAATAGTGTAGAATCAATCAATTTCTAGAGTATTATAATACAAAACCTCCTATAGCAATTAACTGCAGTTAAGCTACCTACAAAATATCAACATTTAATAAAGAATTTATTGAAACAATAAATCTGCATGGCTCAAATTTGAAAATGAGAAAGAAGTCCAATTTAAATAACTCTTTTTACAAAGTATTTGAAGAAACTAAACTTGCAGTGGATAAATGTACTATTTTTTTATTTTTTGTAAGTTAATTTTAGTTTTGCATGAATGAAACGAAACAATAAACAGGGCAATCTGAACCCGAGCAAAGTTTTAGGAGAACATAAACACAGATTTGCCGTATGGGACTAACACTGTTAGTAAGGCTTGCGGCGTAAACATTGTATGTGTTGTTTTATGGATAATTTATAATCCTGGCTGATGTTGAAATCACTAGTGTTAAAATTAAAATATAATAAATACATTGACATTGTTCTTGTATTATTTTTCGTTAGATGGTAGCTTTTATGTCATACTTTCATATCTTATACATTATTTCTATTTGGAAATATTTTTATTGGTGGAAATGTGTTGAATTTACGTGAAAATACACAATACAAAATATGATTCTTGCAAGACTATATTGGTCAGGTAAATAGGTTTTCTTTTGGATGAAATTTAACATTAGTAGACTTTTTTTTCACATAAGGTAGTGAGGATCAAATAGGTAAAGACTATCTTATAATCTGAAAATGTAAATTCAATTCAAACGTTTGTAATTTATCTTTTCTTAATACTAAAACACAAAATTCGTAGCCTCATATGTATTAAAGCAATATTTCCTTTTTAGACGAGATTCCACAATTACCAGCAGGACATAAACATTGATAATAAACTAACAACAAACATAGATTACTATCATAACAATATATTACTAACACATTACTGTTGCCTTGTTCTTTTTTTATCGACACGAAATTAATAAAATAGAGGAAAATATATCTAGTAATAAATGTCATAAATGAACTTTAAGTCGGTCTAAGCAAGCAAAAACTACGATAATTTTCGCGAACTCGCCATACTTTATAGGTTTCGTCCATAAGAAATCATCTAAAAAACATCTTGGATAGTTTAGTGAAAAAGTTCTTGTAGATTATACGTAGGTGTTGTAATATGTTAATGAATTTGTTTGGTGAACATTAAATTTACCAAACTATTTGTACGCTTTTATTATCACTATACAATATATATTTTGTATTTTTTATTAAGTTTAATAGTGTTTTAATGGTATGTGCCTAAGGGATCTATAAAATGGTATCACACTTAACCTGTATTCTTCCATTTATGACAACGGTTTTACAAATGACGATAAAGTCCGTGAAACTAATTTTAGGCGATTTGTAACGAGCAATCAAAATTTTGCGTTTTAAACTAACTTCTGAATGAGTTAAAACAAATTAAAAGGTTATAAATAAACACGTAAAAAATTAATATAAAGTTGGTTTCTTCCAAACATCTCATTTAATAGATTTGCAGTATGAAATTAACGTGGACTCAATTAAATTTTATTTTATTCTTTACAATCCAATTTAACTAATTTAGGCTTATAACCTACGATTGGAAAATTGTCTTGCGTGTCACCTAAATAGGTAAAAACTAAATGATTTTTTAGCTATTACTAGTTATCTATTATTATATTATTTAACTATTACTACACAACATTAATTACCACAGAACATTAACTTAATCAACATTGGCACATTTTACTAATATCGACGTTAGAATTTGACCGTTTTTTAAAGACCACTGACAAACTAAAAAGCATACAAAATTTACTCATTGCATAACTGTTTACTAGATAATATTTTATCTAATTACCAATGGTACATTGATATAGAAAATTAGTTACTATTAAAGCATTATTAATTAATTATTATATTAAGGAATCTTTATTAAATACCGAATGATTTTTATAATTTTGTAAATTAAGTTCAATTTCAACAACAAAACTTACTAACGAGTGCCAACGAGGAATAATTTTCACTATTCGTTACACATATTCCAAAACCAAACCTTCCTAAATAAGCTTTGCGGTTCAGTAAATATTGGCAAACAAGTTTTATGTCTTTACCGCTGACCAGAAATGGGTGGTTATATTTAGTGTGACAGTTCCATTCAACTTTAGTTTTCCATCCCCTACGACTGTTTGTAATTTTGATAAAGTTAAATTTGCAATAGAAAATTAAAAAATTCTACCACGGTATTTGTATAACATTATTCTACTTGAAAAAATATTAAATGAAACCCTTTTAAATTATACCTTATCGAATAAAAACAATTTAAAATCATGATTTCGTTTCGACTCTTTGATATCTAATAAGTTTGGTTGATTAGGATCCAGTCAATATTTCTTACACTATTTTATTAACTATGTGATTGAAGAATACGTTCATTTTTTCACAGTATACACGAATGAAATATATTAGACCAAATCCATCCTAAAGATTTAATAAATATTTCATCTATAATTTATTTTTCTACACAAATATAATACTAGAGAAAATAATCTTTTTGAATAGAAGTATGTAATTTTCCAAGCTGTGACAGGTTTTTCATTCACACAGTTTTCCGTTTGACGAATAGCTTTGCTCCAAGTTTTAAAGATTTATCGGTTTTCTAAGTTTAAATTAGTTTCCGTCCTAGACTCCGATAGCGACTGCTGTCACATATTGGATGAATGTGTTGAAATATAAACGTCGTACGAATTATTAGTCTGCAAAGTAAACTATGTGAAAAAATGCAAGCAAACATTATTACTTTTAATTCAATCCTATGTTTCCTATTATAATGATATTATCTTTAAAATCGTATAAGTTAGCTGTTCGTTTAAAGCTAAAGCTACCTTTTACAATAATTGTAATTGCATGACAAATAAAAGAAAAGTAGAGATGACAAATTTAAATCTATCAACAAATTTTACTTTTTCCTTGTTTTATATTCCCATCGTTTCTAAAAATGTTTAAATTATTTCAACTAATATTATGGAACAATTTAATTAAGGAATATGTATATTTATAAGAATATCTCTTGATTAAATCGAGATATGAATTTGACTACTTAAGATTTACTTAAGCATATCATTCCTTACAAGTAGTTATAATATATTAATATTAATAATAAAAGTGGTTATTGGGGTGATACAAATT